TATTTCAAGTAAATCAGAAATGCGACAAGTTTAAGCTTTTATCATGTAAGATAAAAAAAAAATACCCAAAAATATTTTGTGCCGATAAAAATCTATCATCTTAAGGATATCCGATCCTCAGCCAGGAAGGATAACTCTTTAATTTATTATTTAATTCAAAAAGTCTCAAAATAAAGCTTAAATATGAAATCTTTCCATGCAACAATTTTCATTTTATGCATCTCAATGTGATTCAAGGTTCTTTGCAGTGTTAGAAACAGTCTTTTAAAACGTTGATATATTTACCCTATAAAGGTATGTTAAAAATACAGATTTAAAGAAATCGAGTTTTCCTTTAATTTAGCCTTAGATACCAATGCTAATTATCATGATATGAAATTAGAAAGGATTTATGGTGTTTTGCAATGATAGGAAACACTTTATAAACTATGCATTATAAAATAATTGAAGTACACAGAAGAAACTATAGAGTACTGTATCAGCAATTCCATATTTTATTTTTTTTATTTGGTTAATAAGCACGGTAATGTTATCTTAGGCATTCATTAAAGATTACGTAATGATTTAATTAAATAGTTTGTTAAAAGAGAAATGAAGTATTCCATGTACATGTATTATATACTGTTGAATTACAGGGTATTTAAGGACATACGAAAGGTAGTTTGAACTTTATTGTCTTTTTCCCTGGAGTTGAAAAGTTCCAATACTTCAAGGAACTGTGTGCTACATTTTAATGTCTATATATGCTAATGTCCACTTCTTCTATAACAAGTTTGGATAAACAAAATGTCTAGAACATATGTTTAGTAATTTTTGTATATTTTTCTATTAATTATACAAGAATTTTCATCATTTGATATCTTTTCAAAACCCCTGGTAATGCATGCTGATTTTTTGTCTACGAACATCTGGTGGCACTATAATCTTAAATTAAGAATATCTTGAAAAATTATCAGTAGGTAAGGTACGTTGCGTATGTCCTTAAGAATACCATCTAGGAACGATATGTTGAGCGATTTCTCTTACACTTACAGACATATTAACTACTCTTGCAATGTCCCCTATTGAAATCAGTAAAATGGGCATTGTTTATGACTTCTCTTTTTGAATTAATTCAGTTTCGTTCAATGGTTTGTTTGAGGTGGTATTACATAAAACGAACTATTCTTACAGTAATGTCCCTAGTGATCCTTTGTGAATCATACATGAAAATTAACAGGATGTGAATTACCAGAGGGACAACGCATATTTTGACACAAAAAAAGTTAAAGGGTATTTGGGTAACTTTGATGTAAAAACAATGCTAGAATGTCAATAAAATATAGGTGTTTTGGTGTTAATAAACATCACAGTTGTCGTAAAATTTAATATCTTTTTTACGACATCACCAACAGAAGTTCTACAAAGGAATTTCAGCGACTTCATTTTGTTAGCAGAAGCAGTTTAACCTTAAAGAATATCACATCATACTGTTAGAATTGAGTTTTATGTTCGTGTTAATCCTGATTCTTTTTAAATCATCCTCCGCTTATTTCACGACATCTAAAATCAAATTAGAAGGTGAAAGGAATCCCACGGTTCCTCCATGTTAAAATCTGTATTAAAATTCTACTAAACACTCATTTAAATCTCGCCACCCTTGTACTTAAAAGAGAACAAACAAACTTAACTTGGCATCATTTGAATGAAAAAACAATCAAATTCATGCTTAGCATTAAGATTTTCAGTTAAAAACGAAGAGGGTGATTAATTGCCTTTTCTCCCTTTCGCAGGTGTGACGGGTCACGCGGGGTCAATGGATCAAACAGAAGTACAAAGTAGCAAATTCAATTTCAGTTTGAAATCGGGTTTGTTTTTAATCAGGATCGTCTTACATCTGAATAATTGTTTGTGGTGCGATGACATAAATTTTATAGCTATACCACCACGCTAGGATTAAGTTTCAAGGGAGTTTTAGGCAGAAAAGAGTTCTAAATGAAAAAGGCTGCTGGCCCGTCCAAGATAGAACATATTTAACATCTTAATAATATAACACAACCGTGTATCTTAACAATTGAGACATTTGATATCAAAAGATTAAAGAGGAAGAATTGTAAAGATGTATGCTCTTTTGTGAATTTGTTATCTATATTTTGTTAATAGACGAAAAGCAATTTAATGCGAACCGTGTTTACCGCTTGAGCTGGAGCTATTCAAGGAAACAAATTCTGTCCTCATAGTCTTATTACTCATTTTCAGATAATAGAGTTTAAACAAAATTATTTGTTTTCGATATTTTCAAAAGGTTTTTTATTCAAAGACTGCAAATGTGTAAACTATGCAATGTTTTAGAATTCGTTAATGCAGATTAAGGAAAAAGAACAGATATAACAATCTTTAAAAATTGAATATAAAATTATTATCCTAAACTAAGTAAAGAGGTTACATCTTTAGTAATTAATTTGAAGAAGAAAAAACAAATAAACCTAGAGAACTTGATTTATGCCGTGTCATGCCGCCCATTTGACATTTCCTTTCAACTGACCCAATGTATCAGTTGCATACATGTCTATGTGTAATACATGCAATCTGATTAGAAAAGAGGAAATCGGAAAGTCGACAGTAGCTGGTGTGCTAGGGGAGCAAAAGTCGGAGGGTGATCCGGAAATCTAGGACCAGGATCCTGTAAGTGCCCTTTTCCAGGTGACTACTAGATTTCTATGCAACACCGCATTTCTTGTTCAATTTGTATTATTAGTTACTTAGCAAGAATTGCTAACGGTGATGGCACACAAGCAAAACCCAGATTTTTTTTTCATCTGAGTTTGAGGGTGTTTCCAGTCAATTTTTAGGTAGGTAAAGTGAACTAATATATATATATATATATATATATATATATATATATATATATATATATATATATATATATATATATATATATATATATATATATATATATATATAAAACATTTTATTGAGTTTATGATAATGATTAGTGTTCAAGAATTGATATATATATATATTATGAATAAGTTTTTATTATTAAATTTTTAAAGTAAAGAAATACAGTTTAAATTTTACAAAAATTCGAAACTACTTGTCAAAAATTTAATTTCAGAATATTTGACATTGTGACCATTACTTTTCTTCATACGCAAAATTCATGTCACCCCCTTGGTTTCAACGCAAACCTTGATAAGCCATATTTTCAATATATACATATAATTATTAAATATCTCTGGATTAATCATTTTCCGGTCATATAGTCCTTAAAAAGATACCCTGATTTCAGTCATTTACTCTTAATCATACAGTAGTCATTTTACATTTGATGAATTAAAATGACCAGTTGACGGACAAATTAATTAAGAATACTATTTTCAGTAATACAGTAATTTACAACATACTATTAATTCAACTTACACAACGAAGATAATAGGTTTTTTTTTTATATGATTTCTTGTTTTTTTTTTTTAATATTTGATAATTGATACCCTTAACATTTTAGAAGAGAAGTGAGAAAGGGAATTGTATTGCCTCCATACTCCAACAAATCCATTGATAAACAATATGGTACCAGATTATGTGCGCAATTAACGTTTTTATATTTATCTTTTTTATAGCTTTAATTACATAAGTTTCCTGTCAGTTTTATCGATGAAGATCTCCGGAACAAAATGACTACATTATACCAAACAATAATGCTATTTCATTGATGTCCTAATTTGGTGACATAAACTGCTGTCTTTTATGTATAGATTTTCAAGCATCATACTTATTTCATTTGATCGTCTTTAGGTAGATTCTTATAGACATTGCTAGTTGGAGAACAATACATGCATTTTGATAAAAAATAAAAAATATCTTGATACATCTTATACGAATAAATATATGTCAGTGAGTATAAGATATACTAGTATGCTTGTATGGGTAAATTCAATACAAATGTAAACATATTAAGCTTCAATATGAGACAGAGGATTCTGACAAAAAAAAAGACTAGTAATTCCCTGTCAGATATGAAAAAAAGTCACTCTTTAGTTATCTTTAAACAAAACCCACTTTGTAAATTTGTAACGCGTAGAAGGCTAAATCATTTTTTTTTGTTTGTTTGTTAATGTATTTATGAATTTTAGAGTTTTATATAAAACACAAGATTATGTAATAAATACTTTTTTAAATAGTTCATACTAATAGTAAGTTCGGAGAGAGAGAGAGAAAGAGTCTGATTTATGTAAGGAAAATCCAGATTCTGACAAACGGAAACTAATGTCAAATGAAACACGAGTTCCAATCCCATACAGACCCGTCATGTCCCGTATTAAACAGAATTTGTGTTGACGGTGAGGTTTATACGACCGTTTAAATTAACCAAAAAAAAATATATGTGAGAATTATGTGAAATTTACAACAAATGACGAGGAGAAAATTTCGAGGGGAATATACAAAAGCTGGCGAAATAACTTCGTGAAAAACAAAATAAAATATTTTGAGACAGTTAAGCCAACATAATTGTCATTTCAATACGGTAAATCTACATGTTCGGACAATATATATACATCTAATTACCAAAATTTGCCCACATTGGATTTATGTGGGTACGTGGGTGAGTTTTTATGAGCAATTGATGATGACCTTCTCGCATCGTTAAGATGCCAACGTCTTCCGCACACTGCACCAGCTCTTGCCTCCTGACCAGGGTCGCCCGCTGTGATGGCCACAGTCTGGGTGAAGGGTGGGCGGAGGGAATATGTATAAACCCCCGTTACCGGTCACAGGTAGAATGAAGGTACTTAAAAACTACAGTCATTTTACGCCAAGTGAGTCATCATCGCTAATCGCATCGTAAAGGTAAATAGATTCGCCTTCAATCGTTATGGTAAATATAACGTCGGCTCGTGTCGGCTATAAATCGGCACTGAGGATATCATTAGTATTCTAGCAAATTACCCGAATAGAATTGTTTACAAACTTTAAAACCCCCAATTGACAGTTTTCTTGCCGGTGATGGCCCCTATATATGTTGACGAATTCATTCACAATGTTCAAATGCAAGTTCATTCCACTTGACTCTCGAAGTGATTGTCGAATATTGTATGACAATGCCCAAATCATTTCTTATACGTAATGTAATGAAGAAAGAAGGGAGATGTGATATAGGTACCACATGTAAGTTTTTTATTATTATTCAGTATTTCTATCTTTTATATCCTAAATATATAGTGTATTGAAGAAAGAAGATGAAAGATGCGATGTACATGTAGGATTCTGATGTAAATCAATTATTTTATTCTTTTTAAGTACCTTTCGTATTTCTTAAAAATATAAATCTGTCAGTTTAAAATTTGATGATAGAAATAAGATGTATAATTTTGCACTTTTTTAAAAATACTTTCAGATTTAAAATTATTTTTCCCCAGCTTAGCCTTATAGTTTTTTTTTTTAATTCCGAATAAATCAACTCTTTGATAGCTGTAAATAAATTTTAACGCCTTTTATTTTTCCTTTGAGTGGAACCCCAAAAACAAAAGTCATGGGTAAAAAGTTATTGAAGTTGGATCGCAGAAATGTCATATTAACGTAATTTATAGTGATTAACTTGGTGGTTTTCCCAGGACTCTGTATGCGCGACTCTGTTAACATAAACAAGGTATCTGATAGCTCTCTCTGCACACTGATTGGTTGAAATATCTCGGGAGGCTGGAGAGCGTTTTGATATTCAAACAGCACAGCATACGCTAGTTCTCTTGTAATATATAATTGGATTTTAAGTCCTCGAGCAAGGTGAGTAAATTGTTTGCAATTTCGGTATTTTAGACTTCCGTGTGTCTTATTTTTACCATAAAATTGAGCTTTTTTTGTAAGATAATCATGACAAATTTTGTTAATTAAATTAATTAGTGATAAATAAATAAATAAAATAAATAAGTAAATAAATAAGAAATAAATAAACAAAAAGTGTATTAACAATTTCATAAAAAAAATCTTTTTTAAGGAAATGAAATATGTATTACCTTGTTTCTACACTGTGGGTTAGATTTTGCTAGGCTAGTATGTACACAGCACAGGGAATTGTTGAATATTGCATTTTCTTATGAAATACATAACATTGTATTTTCTGAAATTCCTTTATCTAAACATGAAAAATTCACAAACATGCAGTTCATAAGGAATAAAAGTTATCTCACAAGGTTTATACAGGTGACTGAATTAAAGAATTAAGATATTTATAATCTGAAGTCCTAAATGGCAGTTGATGAAAATGATTTGTCAATTTTTAATAATAAGAGAAAGGCTATGTTTTAAAAAAACAAAAGCAATTAAAAAAAAAGAAAAAAACAACAAAAAACAAAAACAAAAATAAACATTCAAAAAAAAAACAAAAAACAAAAAAAAAACAACAACAACAACAACAACAAAAAAACCCGAAAACGATGTTATAAATGAGTTGATTGATAATGAACCATATAACCTCATAATAAACTCAAAATTAAAAATTAATTGCCATATTTTTCGGGATATAATTTTAAAAAATGATGACAAGAGTGAACTACTTGCAAGGTATGGATATTTTTCCGAACATAAATCTTTTTTTTTCTCGAGGAATCTGATGATATCACACTACCTATCGTATATTCATCAAATATAAATCTTTGACGAGAATTAACGCAGCAATATTTTATAGTTTATTTATCTTGCATATTTCTCTAAGGTACAAAACTTATTTTCTTGGTTCTGGGAGAATGTTTTAAGTGCACCCTTGGGTATTTTCTTTACTTAGTTTAATAGGTTTAACTTCCGTCATTGAATCAGTTGTTAAAACAAATGTTCAAAATCTAATTTTTCCACAATTAAGTCATAAAAATTCTTTTTGCGATAAAGCATATCAGACTTTATGACCGTGTATTTTATTTATATTGCTTATACAAAGAAGTTACGGTAGCCCCACACCCATCTATGAGACAAGAGGTAGTTCCAAGGCCCTTCATAAATTGCAGTGATTTACAATAATTCATAAACAAGAAGCGGTTTTAAATCTTCAAGTTGATTAACATTAAACGATTTCCCGTGCAGCTACCGTTTGACTTTTCCCACTTGTTCTAAGTGGCCAAACGCAATGGAGCCATTTGGATGTTTGTTTTTGTCTTAAGCAGTCTTGTTTGGATCTTCACGAACCTCCTTAAGCTCTCTTCACACCCGCTTATGTCCACAATGTTGTTTGCCTTGCCACTGTCACTTAGTTTGAGGAGGCTTCGGAGTCTATCATCCTTGGTGTTATATTGCCACTTGTCTCCATTATCTACCGTTAATATTGAAAAATAAACAAACCCCAATGTCAGAAATCACCAAATTAATATCTTCAGTTTACCTATTCAATTATTTCCGACATCCTGTTTTATTCTTTTACAGCTCCTCATCTAGAAAGCACAACCAAAACGACCTTCATGGAAACATCCTTCCCAGAATACATGATTTCACATCCGGGGCTCTCCCCACACATTTTGTCAGCGTCACCATACCGTATTCCAAAACCATGGTCACGACATACAGTCTCACCAGCTGACCTTTACCCGGAAGGAAATTACCACGTGCCTTTGTCAGTTCTCCCGTATTCCCCTTGCATGACGATTAACACTTTTTCCTTAAACCACTGGAACTACTCACCAATGATGTCACTAATGAGAGGTGGTGACGCAATAGAAACCAATCCTTCCCCAAGAAGTTCAACGTCAAGCTTCATGCCAGTAAAGAAAGGTACTTTTATTCAAAACCAGAAGAAATAATTATTTTCAAAGAATTTTCTTGTTATCTGAAGTTCTTGTTAATTTTTTTTTAAATTAAAGAAGAAAAGGATGTTTAATGTCAAGGATTTACTTTTGTAGAAAAATCTGAGAAACCTCGATTTGATTTTGCTAACCTTGCAAAATCTGCTACAGAAAAAGATGATAATGACGAACGCGTCAAAAGTGAACCAGATGATACAAACCAGGGACAGGAGGCTAAAATCATCAGCAGTGTCATCATGAATTCTGGCTCTCTCAGGTAGATTTTGGAAGTCAAATGCAATGTTGACCCCATCCCTTTTTTTCGAAACATCTTTAGTATTTTTGTTATACATGCATGTGTAACATCAGCTCTGTTATTTTGATTGTTTATGGATGTTGTATATTTTAGGTATAACCCAATGACAAGTAGTTTCTCCCCCGTCAGTAACCTTCCACCAAGAGTGTTCGCCCCTGTGAAGAGACCACGTGGTCGAGGACCCGCCAGAACTAAGAAGGAATTCATCTGCAAATACTGTGGACGTCACTTCACCAAATCCTATAATCTTTTAATCCACGAACGGACGCACACAGACGAGCGGCCTTACCCATGTGAAATTTGTGGGAAGGCTTTCCGGCGCCAGGACCACCTAAGGGACCATAGGTAAGATGACGTAGCACACTAGATATTCTGTCAATATAAGACCAAAATAAATAATTAAATAATAAGACATACAATTAAAGAATAATGGCTTCAATATTGTAATATGAATCAGAAGAATATGTATATACCGTATAATGCAATTATTCTGCGCTTGTTTACATGTAATTTTTTGGCTGTATTTTATTTTAATGGAACAATTAGCGTTTATTGACATAATAGTTTTACTTTAGCTATTATCATTTATTAGTATACATGTTATGTTAAATGCATATGAAATGTAATATTAAGATAAGTATTATATATTATGTATGAATCTTTTTCAAGATATATCCACTCTAAAGAGAAACCGTTTAAGTGTTTGGAATGTGGGAAAGGGTTTTGTCAATCCAGAACTCTGGCCGTGCACAAATCACTTCATATGCAGGTATATATTTACCTTATAAATCGTTACATTTGTTTTCGAAACTTGGTAGGCGAATTTACTTGCCATACAATGAATTATTGTGTCAGCTGCATCACTGAATTATATCTATTGCTTTATAGCAACAATCGGGTCAAGCAAAGCCCAGTAAAAGGGATACAGTGTTGAAAGAAAACTCCTCCATTCAGCGATGAAAGACTTGTGGAAAGATATTATTTGTAACCTGGATCCGATTGCAGGTCCCTGTATGCAGTGTTGGTGCACTAAAAGATGACTGCGCCCCGTTCAACTTTACAAGTGACAAATTTGCGGCCGTGTGCAATATGTTATTTTACAAGTAGCTGCTGAGAGAAGTGTACATATATTGATATTCAATTAAAAATGATAAAACTTGATCTATATTGTCACTGTTATTTGGTTATGTAGATGGAGGGTTTTTGGAAGGTCGTTAGTTTATACATAGATTTAGTGCCATTAACATTATCTTTACCTACTTAGATAACCAGGTGTCTGGTAAAATTTAAAAATAAATCACATCAAATTGGACGTATTTTAGTGTACAAAAATCTTGTCAGCTCGACCCCAGCTCAAGTTTTCCCACATCACCTGAGGTCATGTGACAGAGGCTTGGTAGTAAAATTCTACCTCAGTAGCGCTTTGACATAATCTGGGTTCTGACCCCTGTTACTCCTCCCTTACATTTCTGCAATCTCAGCCACCGTATACAAATCAGACGGTCTCCAGATCACGACAACTATTCCAAAAATGCGCTCATACATAATTGGACTTAATTGCTTTTAGTCAAATTTTAGACACGGGAATGTGTTTTGTTTATATTTAAATAACGCCTTTCTCATAAGAGACAATCAAGAGCCGAGTAAAAGCGACATAAAGTACAAAATGAGGAAATATAGATATTATTAGTAATGGAGATTTAGCTACCGCAAAACTCACCCGGATTATTGAACGATTGGTTGGTGGCGCTCGTGCAGCTGAATACATTTTAATTACATCTTTCGAGTCTTGCGCTGTTTATTTTGTCAAATAAAAATCTGCAATACTAGTCTTTCTATTTTTGAAGATTTTTATTTTACAAAATAGAATGCCTCCCCCAGTTTATCGGATAGACCAGCCTTTTGTACAATTTTTCTGGGAATACTGTTTCTTAGTCACAGACAGGTAATAACTTAATCGCAGACTCAGTGTGACTTGGGCTTTAGACTTTATTTAAGATGTTGCTTCCTTCTACAGACGTCATTTGTTAGTGTTTTGATGATTAAGGGGGCCTAGTATAATTCCTATTATGTAAGTAAGTACGCATGTTATTTGTTTATTATTATGTGTACATATTAATAATGTACATGTATACATATTGATAATGCTAAAAATAATTGTTTCTAATATTCTCATTTTTATTTCAAATTAAAGTTACTCCAACCTTACCTCTGGATAAAACTTTAATCACCTTACTTTTATCCCCCTCCCTCCTGTTTTGCATCCTAACCGATATGAACGACATCTGGGTACATGTAATGATAAGGACTCGAAGAATACCTATGTCTTTCCAAGTTAACACGAGATGCGAAGTGTTTATGAAGGTATAACCCCGAATTTTTATTGACAGACATTGGCGAATGTAATACCTTAAAAAATTGTTTCCTATATAAATCTATACCAAAAAAGTCCAACATTTATAATGTTTAATTGAGCAGTCAAAAAAAAAGTTGGACCGCTCGGTGAGATGAGATGTGGACTACTATGGCGTATTTAGCTCTACTAGTCAGAGACCAGAAGAGCTGATGCGATAATAAGTTGTCTGTCGTGCGTCCGTCTGTCTGTTTGTTTGTCTGTAAACAATTTTTCAAAATGGTATACTTCTCCTACAGTTTTAATCCAATGTCAATATAATTTGGAAACACAACTAGACACATTAAGATACATGAATTTTTTTAAATTGGTTTTGATTTTGATAAGTGGTGTTGCCATAGTTACTAAAAATAGAAATTTCTGTGAAATTCTTTCAAAATGCTTCTCCTCCAACAGTCTTAGCCCGATTTCGTATAAGTTGGTGCACAAGTAGACTACATTAAGATACATAATTCTGAATATCGGTTTTTGATTTTGATAAACGGGGTTTTTATGGTTACTTATACTAGAAATAGAAATTTCTGTAAAATTCTTTCAAAATGCTACTCCTTCTACAGTTTTTGCCTAATAGCAATTAAATCATGGATCATTATTCTATTTATTGCTGTTGCATAGTTTCATGTCCAAGTGCTACTTTTCTCTTCCTTTGTTATTTGTACAACCAGTAGAGCTACAGTCTCATCAGAGACTTCTGGTTTACGTCACACTTCACAAAATATTTCTAGCTCAATGAATGTAGGCGAGATAGCACTGATAAACGAAATTGTCATATTCATCAAAAACATTGAAGACAGTGCAAGATATGTTACATGTATAATAAAAAGAAAAAAGTATAACAAAACATTTACTGACCGTGTTCGAGGGCAACGCGCGTTTTGCCCAACCCTCGAACTTTAAACTGTTTTCCTTTGTCCTAAGGACCTCAGCCAGAGTTTGGTTCTTGGGTCCGACAAAAATGCATGTTGCCCTCGTCGAAAACAGTCAATAAATGAATAATGTAAAACAGCTTATTTCAAAAACGTTTGATAATACAATGCTTATTTTTAGGCAAAGTTTATTATTTGATTGCTTAAAATACTTTATGACGTTCGGAGACGATCTGGAAACAATATTACAATATACACTGTACAAACAGTTACCCGTTTACGACAGACATGTCACATAATTGTTTGTTAGGGAAAGATGCTATGAATATGGAAAAAGCTAATTTTTGGAAATAAGTTATTCATACTGAGCTACCTAAAATGTACGTAGATGAGTAATTATGCATGTGAATTCAGCAGCTAAATGGCAGGTCCTAGTTTCCCGATTTGTTGGCCAGGCAAAATAAGATTATGATAATCACACTTTTCCAAAACACTCATAAAATATTTTTAAATAAATAAAGACTGGAATTATATAGCACTGTGATTTTATGAAATTAAATGAATCGATCTTTAAATAGAATTTGTAATTTTTTTTAAAAAAAAAGAGAGTTTTGACCTGTTAAAAAGGGAAAAAATCTGACATCTTTATTGAACGTCGAAACCTGAAAGCTATATGGTAACGGTAAACCGTTTTGAAAAGCATAATTATATAAGTGTTAAATAAGTAAGAATAAAATTGCATATAATTATGAATGCATTATTTGCAAAAAGGATGAAGTCGGTTTTAAGTGTGTCAAATGTTTTTACACACATGTGAAGAGGTTACTATTTCTAGGTGTTATGACTCGCAAGTAAAGATGGTACTTCTCTAGGCTAATGATTACTACCGCTCTAGGCTAATCATCACGTCTTCTCCAAGCAAATCATCAATACTTCTCTATAAGCTAATCATCACAACTTCTCTAGGCTAATCATCACAACTTCTCTAGGCTAGTCGTCACTTCTCCAGACTAATTATTACTCCTTCTTTCGGCTAATCATTAATACTTCTTCAGACAAATCAGTTCTACTCCTCTGGGCTAATCATCACTACATCTCTAGACTTATTATAGCTTTTTCTCTATCTAATCCTCACTTCTTCTCTAGACTAATCAACACTATCTCTCTAGGCTAATCGTCATTACATCTCTAGACTAATCCTCACTACTTCTCAAGGCTAATCATCACTATTTTTCTAGGCTAATCATCACTTCTCTAGGTTAATCATTACTACTTCTCTAGGCAAATCATCATTACCTCTCTTTGCTAATCATCACTACTTCTCTAGGCTAATCTCTCATTGCATCTCTAGACTGGTCATTACTACTTTTCAAGGCTTATCATCACTACTCTTCTGGGCTAATCATCACTGCTGCTCTAGACAAACCATCACTATTTATCTATCTAATCTTCACTACTTTTCTAGACTAATCATCACTATTTTTCTAGGATAATCATCACTTATTCTTTAGGTTAATCATCACTGCCTATCTAGGCTAATCATCACTACTTCTCTAGGCTAATCTCTCACTACCTCTCTAGACTAGTCATCATTACTTCTTAAGGTTTATCATCACTAATCCTCTGGGCTAATCATCACTACTTCATTAGACTAATCATCACCAATTTTCTAGGTAATAAAATGATTAGGTTATAATCATCACCATTGTGATTATCACAATATTACCTATATGAGTACTCTCCCTGCTATCAAAGCCTTAATAAATCTTGGGTGGACGTGCATGATCTTCAGAAGATTTTATGTATGGATTGATACACCAAGAATTTTTTTCAAATTTTTTTTCTGAAACAGATCGACAAAAAAGGGTTAGTTTACTCGGAAATTCTTATCGTATTAAGATTTTTGATTTTTGGGAGAGGGGGTGTATAATGTATTTATGCGGTGATATAAAATTATTATACTGATTTGCCAAGTTCCAAGTTCAATTTATTCACCCAAACCAAAATATTGGTACATGGGGTACATAATAACATATATACGTTATATACAAATTGGTCAGAGGTACATATACAAAACAAAAATCATGACAGATGATTGAAAAAGAAAATAAATAAATAAGAGAGGGGAAAATATATCAAGAAGGACAGACAGCATCATAAATTTTTAGGATAAACATACATCGTTTTTTCAGCATTTTTTCGTTTTTAGTTGACAATAGTGACATCGTGGAACCATTAAGCAAACAAAACACCATATTTTACACCCCCTAAAGAAACCCGCAATCAGATTTGGGATACATGTATGTTACCGAAAATTGTGTACTACCTTAAATGGAAATATAAAAAGCATTAAGTAACATTTATTCGCATATATACATTATACACCCCCTCTCCCAAAATTAAAAATCTTAATACGGTAACAATTTCCGAGTAAAATATTAAATCCTTTCTTGTCGATCTGTTTCAGAAAAAAAAATGAAAAAAAATTCTTGGTGTATCAATCCATACATAAAATCTTTCGAAGATCATGTACGTCCACCCAAGATTTATCAAGGCTTTGATAGCAGGGAGAGTACTCAAATTGGTAATATTGTCTGCCTCTATATCCCCTTTCCTTTTGGAAATAAATATTTAATTAAATTAAATCAAGGCTGTGAAATGATTTTTGGGGGTAATTTTTGACCTGAACGTACATTGTCATGCAGTTAAAGGGTTCATTGAAATAACTCTGACAGTGTTTACGTCACATTAAAAATCGTGATTGAGAATTGTTATTTTGGAGACCTGACTGATCCCTGGTCTTCCATTTTGGCTGGAAAGCGTGGCATTCTGATGACAGACCAAACATTTAGACTGCCGTTAACGGTACTCTCACATCAGTACAAATAACTCACTACTTGTGTCATACCTAAAAGCATCATGTGCTAGCTGTAAAAGTGTTGACAACTTGTGTTCCAAACATATGAAAACGGTTTATAATATTTTGTCATGTTTATAAAAACAGTACACTTTTTTAAAAACAAAATCATGCAATTCAGTTTTTTCGCTTAGGTCAAGTTCTTCACTCGCTTGATGTGGAAGAGAACCTCGACCAGAATTTTTCACCAGATTTGACAACATATCCTTTTGTTTTATACATACATGTATTGTAAACAAACACTAGGAGATATTGACAGAATTGAAAGATTTTGACCAGAATAATCAATTTCAGGACTTCCAATTTTGTTTGTTTTTTTTCCTTATATGGGGTGTCAAAAACCAAGACGCACGCTAAACATAGAAAAAACTTGGAATGGCCTGATTTTAGCCCCATCCTAAATTTGAACAATTTACAGTAAACACTACCTCATGAAACTTTCACACAGGTTTCTTTTCTGGTCCAGTGCTTCTTGAGAAGAAGATTTTTAAAGACTTTTCCTATATTTTTTTGATGTAGAACTTAGATCCCCTATTTTGGCCCCACACTATCCCACGGGGCCATGTTTTGAACAATCAAAAAATTGTTAGTAGAATGTGGCATAATGTAGAAAATATTTGACCATTTTAGAAAGCAATACTTTGATGAAAGGCTTTCCTTTATATAACTGCAATGTCTCCACATGTCACAATCACAAACTGTACATCAATCACTACTCAGATATAACCTTAATTAACATATTGTGCTCTGAATATTAGCCACTTATTTTTATCCCTATCACAAAAGTTAGCTGACAAACTTTAACATTCATCTATATTTAATAAATGTTGAAGGCTGATGCTGACACATTCCTATTTTTAAAAGTGTAATGGTTTGGGCCATGGATATCGGCCTGGGTAGCTCAGTCGGTAGAGCACCTGACTAGTGACACAGGGGTCCCAGGTTCGATTCCCGGTCCAGCCATATATTTTCTCCTTTCCTGTTACAAAAGGAAGGATAAACATTCTTCAAAACTTACTTTCCAGCAAGTCAACAGATTTAAGCATGCCAAAGAAAAACTAAACAATTAAAAAATGTACATTTTATATTTGACAACAAAATGTATAAAACAAAAATCTTCCTGACATATATAATAATTAACGAAGCATAATTCAATAAGTTAATACAAGCATTAAAGACCATGGCAAAACTGTAGATACGATGCATGATGTCTACAAACTGAGGCATGTCTTCTTACAGGAAAGTTGTTTTTAGGGGTATTTCACCCTCAAACTTAGTAGATTCACTAATATATGTATTTTCCTTCCTTTTCTTATGTCTTTTGCACTGAACACACTTCCTTCTTCTGAAGACTCTTTCCAAAACTGATATTATGTTAGAGCTGATGAAATACATAGTATCCACTTCAACTACTGTAAAAAATAAACAAAAATATGATTTAGGAATATTTCTTTTACTAAATTAAACTTGACACTGAGGTAAACTGTACTTTAAGGATATATCATTCATGAGATGATTTGGCCAAAATCAGACTGGAAGCTGTACAGACCTTAATTTCAATTACCATCATATAATTATATAAAAAAAAAGATGTGACTAATATGCAAAATTTTCACTGAACAAAAGGCCCTAGGTCACCTGAGTATAATATAACCCTGAGCACAGAAGATTTTCAAAGAATTAATGTATTTTCACTATATAATCAATACAGTCTTGCCAAAACACCAGAACCCCTGACTCAGGGGCTAGAAATTTCACAATTTTGATAGAGGCACCTATCCTCATCATAATTATGCACTTACTAATAAGCTGAATGCTAAATAGAAGAGAAAAAGTTTTTTTTTTAAAAATAATGCATTTTCACTATACAATCAATAGACACCGCCTTAACACCACAACCCCTTTCCCAGGGGCCTTGAATTTCACAATTAAGGAAGAGACACTCTTGCTTATCATAACCATCCACTCAGTTGGTCTGTTATATATACAGGATGAGAAAAGATTTTTAAAGAATTAATGCATTTTTGCTTTATAATCAATAGAGCCCCACCCTAGCACAAGAACCCCTGACCCAGGGGCCATGAATTTCACAATTTTGGAAGAAGTACCAGGGATTTATCAGCCTATTTTGGGAAATGCCATTTATGGGGAATTGGGAAAAAATTATTGGCAATTTGATGAAATTGGGAAAAATTAAAAAATATTGCTTAAATCATGTATTCAGGTGTAATTAAGGCCAAATAAAAAAATATGTGTGGTTCCGGTTACCCGACCTTCCCTATTTTATACCCCCGACCCTAAACTTTTTTTTGGCAATTTTCATATTTTTTCCGGAATTTTCCCCCATTTCCATCAATGGCTCCGGTTTAAGTTTTAGTTTCAGCAATGACGACCTCCTTGCAAAACATAGTGCTAGTATTTAATAGTGTTAAATCCAAAGCAAGCTAGCATGTAGGTGTCCCCTACCAATATTGACTAGTATATTATCACACCACATCTAAATGCCATTTGAAAAGCAGTGAAAGGTATTATTTGGAAAAATTAAGAAAAATCGTTTTGTTAAAAAAAAAAAAAAAAAAAAAAAAAAATCCCTACCTACCTACCCTAATTTTTTTGGAAGTGTAACCGGAACCACACATATTTTTTTGTTTGGCCTAATTTAACATTTCAGCATGAATTCTAATTTGGGCAATCAAACAGACAAAATAAAATATCATCCAACTTCATCAAACAAGATCAATTATGAATAATAGACTAATAAAAGTAAAATTGACTTCAATGAGTATAAAGTATTTATACAACTTAGGGTAGTACATGTGTGTATGAGATTCCAATTTAGGTCATTATAGAATCTGTTTCTGGAGATTATAAACCTCCTGCAAAAAATTATACTACATTTTCTCAAAGTCCTCTCTTATTAAGAGAGTCTAAATATGTACTAATGCATTCAAAATATATTTCTCTATCTGAAATAATGCCTACAGTCCTTACCATTCACTCGTAGATCAATTGAGTAGGTGGAAATAACTTAATAAATCTATAAAATTACACAATATCACCATTTTCAGGAAAAACGGAGGAAATTCAGATTAAAAGTTGGCGATGTTTTTACATTGTTTTTAAACATGTGTTATGACTGTAGCTTTCTAAATGAGTTAAATAAATGAAAATTACAGACAATCTGACAATTTTACTTTGTGTTTTTCCAAGACAATTAAGTATAAAAGCATTGTTCACCAGTTGGGAAAAAATACTGCCAAATTGGGAAAAACTGCACTCATTTTCAATTGGGAATGGGGCCGAATTTCGGCCCCTGAGAAGGTACTGATAAATCCCTGAGTACCGTTGCTTATCATAACAATGCACTTACTTTGTTTGCTTTACCCAAGAGCAAAGAATAAGATTTTAAAAAGATATTATGCATTTTCACTATATAATCAATAGAGCTCCACCCAAACAGCAGAACCTCTGACCCAATTCTCAATTTCAGAAGAGACACCCTTGCTCTTCATAACCATGCATTTAATTTGTTTTCTTAATATCCAGGAGCAGAGAGGATTTTCCAAGAAATAATGCATTTTCACTATATAATCAACAGAGCCCCACCTTTAACACCAGAACCCCTAACCCAGGGGCATTGAATTTCACAATTATGGAAGAGGCACCTTGCTCATCATACCATGCACCTTGTTTAACTGCCAAATACACAGGGGGAGAGAAGAAGATTGTTTAAAAAATAATGCATTTTCACTATATGATGATTACATGTCTGAACTCCAGAACCCCTGACCCTGGGGCCATGAATTTACAAATTTTGGTCATGGAGCCATTGCTTGTTATAATTATGCCAACAGTTTGACTGCTTGTTGTCCAGGAATAAAGAGGATTTTCTAAATATATCCAGAAGAAGAGATTTTCAATGATATAATCAATGGGGGCAGAGATCATGAAAGTCACAATTTTTGACACCCCCCCCCCCCCCCCCATTTTGCCCATTGATGCTTTATATTTAAATTGGTTGAAATTGGTCTTGCTGTTTATGAAAGGAAGCTGAAAATGTTCAAAGTTTAAGGCTGACAGACAAAGCACAATTACAGACAAAAACAGATAGCAAAGGTTCTATGAGTAACCAAGGTGACCTAAAATAAAATCATTTTTCAATTACCGATTGATTTTCTATTGCTCCAATTTACCTTAGTATGATCTGATGGCGGGAGGGACAGCTTCACATTCTTTATTTAGTGTGGTATCTATAACAGGTCTGTAGTCGAGGGTAGTCTAAGAGAGAGAGAGAGAGAAGTTCAATATTCCTGTAAATTCTACATGTACATGAAATTATCCAAGATTCATATCTTAAATGAGATATGTGAAGTAGTTTTTCCTAAACATTTATCAAAAATCAACAATAATAGTTGGTTATAACAGCACCAGAGTTTCATGCTTGTCTATAATTAGGGCCACTGAGTGGACACATACCCAATATGTTCCTTTTTTTAAATCTGAATGGTGTTTTTTCCTGATTTTACAAAGTTATTGCAAAATGTCAATTTTTTTTCCCTGTAACAAAGCTTGCAGTGAAAACCCTGTATTTATTCCTCTTGATTTGATGCAAAAATTTACCACCCTTTCAAATTTAACCATACTAGTTTTATCTGTTAGTGTACCAACCTTTCCAGTTTTATCTGTGTAGGACAAAGTGTGTTTTCTCCAGTGTTCACTCATAGGTTTCTCTTTCTGTCCCTCCAGGGGTTTACTGTAGTCAAATTCATCTATTCTGTCCTGTAAAGCATAAAGAAATGGCTAATCATATGAATGTCTATGTGTACAAGCATGTGCACAAGGGCGGTTTGCCTAATTTTTTTTTTAGTTGTACATAATATGTGGAAAGCAAGTTACTATTAAATATATGGAAATAGCAGCTGTTTGAAGACTTATTTACAATATTGTACACATATTTTCAAGTATCGGTATTTTTTTTTAATGTCGAGGCATGCAAATGTTCATTTAATTGGAAAAAATAACAAGATAGAGGCTCTGATAAGTATTTGTCTGAGTATATCTTAACATATAGGTTTTATTTGTTAAGACCTTTCAATCATTCTGTGTACTTTCTATTACATAAAACTAAGGTGTTAACTCAGGAGAAAAAATTAAAATAGCCATGACTTTCACATTGGTGACTTAATCATTGAATCGCCTCCCCACCTTACTCATTATATTTACATACACATTAGATGTGACCTTATTAACTGAAGGCTGGATACAGTCCCTTGTTTTTATGTTGAATACATGACTTTTACCTTGAAGTCTTCTCTGGAGTGAGCTCCCCTACTTTCCTTCCTGGCCTCTGCTGAGACTATAGTCTGCAGAGCATTTATCATCAGGTTCTGTAACTCCAGTGTTTCTACTAGATCTGTGTTCCAGATCATTCCTCTGTCAGAAAGCTGAAAAATACATACTTGATACTTTTAAAATTCATGTATTGATAGATAAAGGTTAATACACACACATTCATATAAGCAAATGAGTGTGATGTTTTTTATTTCTTTGTTATGGTGTTTAACTCCATACCTTAACATCGTCCATTTCTTTGTTTATGGTGTACATTTTCTCCACTCCCTCCTTTAAAGATGGTCCTTCTCGGAACACTGCAGCATGGTTCTGCATAGCCTGTTTGAAACAAACACCAATCTTAGTAATTATTCTTTCTGATAATACAATATTCATAGCATATGTATCAATTCTTATTAAAGAGTAAAAGGCGGGATGCATATCAACATTTCAATCAATTATAATTTGCTAAAAAATGCAATTGCAAGATAGGGATAAATGAAGCATATCATATTTTTGGGATTTTTTAAAAAATCAACATTTTAAGAGACCATACTAACAAGAAAGAAATACGCTACCTTTTGCATTTTGAGTCTCAAGTCAGCTGTTGTCTGGCTTCCATTAGCGTGTCGCAGCTTATCAATGTTAGCTACAGATTCTTCTCCAGCATTCTATCAAAAGCAGAAATTAATATTGGAGTACTCACACTCTACTTTAATCAAGTCAGTTATTTTCAAAAATAAATGTATCTTACTATTCATCTTCAAAGGAAAGACATACGCCTACCTGACTGATTTTGCCAATAGTATCTCCAGGTTTGTTTTCTGCAGCAATGGTGTTAGCACAGGCCCTGCCAAAGACTACCAGATCCAGCAAAGAATTAGCTCCCAGTCTGTTAGCACCATGTACAGAGGCACACGCAGCCTCTCCACAGGAATACAGTCCTGGTACAACACGGTCCTTGCCATTTACGTATTCAATCACCTGTCAATGATTTACATATTCTACATCAAAATATTTACAAAGATCAGAATATATTTAATATACATGTATATACACTAAATGGACCATACATTTAAAAATTCAATTATTGAATAGATTTCATACTTGTTAACACATATCACAATAACTGCTTCTCCTTAAGATCTTTTCATTTTTTATCACTAGATCTCCATAAATTTCTCTTCAGATTAACTCTTTTCCCCCTGAAGCAATACATCCTTTACCCCCTGATGCCACCATTTGACGCTATGCCCCATTTCCCTGTTGACGACTTTTGACGCATGTATACAACAACCCTAAATAGCTCTGCAATTTCCCCTATTTCTAAAATAAATTCAGCTCTAAATAACAGCCAATCATGTGTATTAAACATTAGGTAATGTTACTATATTTAGTGAAGTCACATCTGGTGTGAATTCACGTGAGATTTACCTGTCTCAAAAAAATGGCATCCTGTCTGTTTACAAGAAAAATTAGGCCACGTTACAAGCAAAGTTCTGCCTTAATATTGCATATTGTGAAACATTCCTTGGGTTTTATTAGCATTCACAATGTTTACATCATTTCTAAAGATTAATTTAACAGAAATAAAAATTTACAGTGAAAATTAGAAGGCAAAACTTCGGAGAATCTTACACAAAAACAACAATGGCGGCCACAAATTTCCCATGTGTTTTATGAGTGCTAAATTCAACTATCAGCAAAATTTTACATCTGAACATTGCTTTAAGTATAAATTTATTTCCCCAAGAGACTTCTGCAGGAAATGGTCAGCAAAATAAATAAGATCTAAACACTGTCTGCATGAACATTAGATCGCGAAGTTTAGCAGGATCTAGTCTAGATAATTACCTATCTTTAGTGAACTATCATGATAATATTAAACATTAAAAAAAATCTAATGAACCTTTTAAATAATAGGATATTATATGCTTTGTTTACAAGTATATATTAAGAAAAATGCTTTAGAAAAGTTTTCTTTCAAAGTGAAGATATCAAGATTAATTAAAAAAAAATGTAATTTCACCTGGTTTCACCTATATTGTTAATTGTAGATTAATAATTTTTACAAAATTATGTGACCATGTTAAAGTTTAATCCATTCCCAAAACATTAATATATAATATGTGACACTTTAATGATATTTAAGTACTTAATTAGCATGTTCTAAATGTAATGGTCAGTCATTTCAAACCAGCCAAAATGGCTTCAGGGGGCAGCCAGATAAACACTCTAGGGAAATGGCAAGTGTGTCAAATGGTGGCAACAGGGGGAAAAGAGTTAACTGAATTTCAATTCCACAATATTCTAACATTTCTTATCAATTCAATAACTTCAAATTCTTTCAAATATGATGTGAAATTCATCCATCTGTACAGACCTGTCCCTTATAGTTAGTGGGTGTGCCTCCCATGTTGTAGTGTACTGTAGGGAGAACAGGGATAGGATCCCTCGTCACATCCACACCAGCAAAGATCATGGCAGTCTCTGAGATTCCAGGCAGGCGTGTCTTTAACACCTCAGCAGGAAGGTGGGACAGCTGAAGGAATACATGGTCTTTCTCTGGGCCTACACCTCTATAATACACAATTTGTACTTTCATTTTGACATAGTATAGTCATGTATAACAAATTATTGAAGTTACATGCATTAACCTTTTTGAAAACATCAACTGTAGAAAAATCAAAAATGTTCATGTATTTATAGAGCAATGGGGCTGTATTACAATAGGACCAACCATATGATGAAAATTTTGCTGTGTTACTAAAATCTCAGAAATGATCTGTCTTAAATAACAAAACTTCAAGTTTCTTCAAATACACATTCAAATACATATCAAAATCAATTTGAAATTAATAAAATTTAGCAATTGTTAAAAAAAGTTTTAGTCTGCAAAAATGAGCCATAGATCTTACCTTCCTTCTCTGATTTCAATGGTACTAGCTCGAGACACAACATCTCTGGAGGCTAGATCTTTGGCAGAGGGGGCATATCGCTCCATGTAGCGCTCACCCTTAGAGTTAATGAGATAGCCCCCCTCTCCACGGGATCCCTCAGTGATTAGACATCCAGCGCCATATATACCTAAAAGATTAAAGAACAATGTAAGCACAGTCAACAGTTATGTTTTCAGATTAAGTGCTGGGTTTTGCTTGTCTCTGTGAAATTACAAATCAATATGTAATAAGACCTCTCCTACTTACTAAAACAAAATGAATGTAAAACATTTACAAGAACTATGCACGGTAACTCCCAATTCCCGCCTACATTTTACAACCATTTAATTCAATATTGATGACAATTTGGCCATAAAATCTTTGTTTAATACAAAGAACAGTTCAATGGTAATTGATTAATTATTTTAATTCCAGTGCTAAATAGTAAATAATCCCTAATTCCAGCTCTTGAAATAGGGGGGGGGGGGGGGGGGGGGTTGACGATATTTTCCACTGAAATCGGGCTATAAAGCATCACCACATTCTGAAATAGTCTTGGATATGAATAAATGTTTCTTAAATCTTTTCTAATGTTTTATGCACATAAAATTAAGCATACATATTAGTAAAATATAATGTTTCAGTTGTAAAGCACTTGGAAATTGCTGAAAAAATAAGCATTTTTGTCGTTTTTTGTGTATAAACATATGTCCCCCCCCCCCCCCCCCCGTGAAACACAAAAAGCTTTGGTATGAATTTGTGAAATGACAGTCCATATTACCCGTAAAAAGGAATTTTTGTTTCACGGGGGGGAAAGATGTTTTAAAAATATTTTCCATTTTCCGTTGATTTCTATAGTGAAAAACAAGAGTTTTACCAAAATTTTAGAGTTATCTCTCGTTGTTTTCCCAAAGAAGCAATGTTTTATGAAAATCCATATAAATATCAATATAAATATTAAAAATCATTCGAATATCTTCACTTTTGAAAATTGACTTGGAGGTAGGCGGGAGAACAATACTATCGTTCGCAGTTCTTTAAATATTTGAATAGATTTTACATACCATCTTAGGCCAAATAAAAAAAATATGTGCATTTCCTGTAACATGCCAAAAAAATATTAGGGTGGGTAGGTAGGTGTTAACTTTTAAGAAAAAATTACTATCTATTTTAAAAGCATCAGTTAATGATTTAAAATACTGTTCTTTTTTTGTCATTAATACATATACATAAATGATATGAATAAACATACACAACAAAACAAGTGTTCTGTTTAAAACACTTGGACACACACATTTTTACAGTGTCTGAGACATGCATTTTATTGACAGCACTATAGGAAAACTGTACTAGTGAACAAAAGTATGGTTCAAAATTCGGATTTGAATAAAAAGTAGTAGGGTCTGTGGGTAAAATTAGGGTCCATTGAGTTACCAGAAACACACATATCTATTTATAGCCTTATTGTTTTTAAGAAAAGACATTCCATCATGATCCACTTCGACTTGAGGTGTCAGGATGTGAACAACTTGAATTATGAAATCATTTTCCATCATAATATTTAGTCGAGTATCTTACTTCATACTTTCAAAATGTTTACAAACACTGATCAGTAAGGAAGGTTTAATTAGGAAACACTGACCTGTAGGGTGAAACTGTATAAACTCCATATCTTCATTAGGGAGTCCAGCCCTGGCCACCATAGCAGTACCATCACCAGTGCAGGTATGTGCTGAAGTGCAGGAGAAATAAGCCCGTCCGTATCCTCTGTAATTCAGTAACTTACATTTAGCAAGTGTATACAATGTTAAAATGAACTAAAACATTCCTGTTCTACAACAAAGATTGAAAAGTATGTACATTTATATTCATTTAAGTTTAAGAAATCAACAATTAAGTTTACCCTGTAGCAAGAACTGTGTTCTTTGATCGGAATCGATGGATGGTGCCATCCTCTAAGCTAAGGGCAATAACTCCTCTACATTCCCCTTCTTCCATTATCAGATCAAGGGCGAAATATTCAATAAAGTATGATGTGTCATATTTCAGGGACTGTAATTAGACAATAAACACCATTTATGATTATAACATTAGCAAACAGGCTTTTCTTCACGAATCTGTGAATAAAAAAATATTTTTGAGAATTATTGGTTTGCATGTTTACTGAACAGCACTGCTGTTTTTCTCCTTATCAACTGTCTCTCATAGCTAATACTAGAGCATATAAATGAATAATAATGCTATTTGGTATAAAGACGTACTCTCCCATAGAGTGTGTGAAGTAGAGAGTGACCGGTTCTGTCAGCCACACAGCAGCAGCGATGAGCTTGTCCACCTTTTCCATAGTTGATGCTCTGACCCCCAAATGCACGTTGATAAATTTTACCATTTTCCAGTCTACTGAATGGCATTCCATAATTTTCCAGCTAAAAAATTACATTCCATGTTAAATAATTACAATCCCATAATTTTAAATACAGAAATATTATATATTCCTTTTACATCCCATGTTTAAACTCTTTCATGAGATCCAAACTTCTGAGCCTTTAACTCTTGAAAGATTTAAAGCTTTCTATACCTCAATGACAGCTTTGGGGGCTTCCTCACACATGTAGTGAATGGCGTCTTGGTCTCCTAACCAATCAGAACCCTTCACAGTGTCATAAAAGTGATAATGCCAGTGATCCTCCTCCATGTGCCCAAGGGCTGCATTGATACCTCCCTATCATATGGAAGAAGAATTATCTTTATTGTACTTATATTTGTCTGATAACATACCCCAACCACCAACCCAAAAAAGTATTGCAGGTTAGAACAATTAAATATCAAGCATACACTTCTTAAAACGTGTGAAATTCTAAACCTTTCAATATCCTTATGGGAAGATAAGCTTATTCCTGGCCAGCTGGTACACTTAATGACTCTTACCCAAATCAGTAAGAACCAGGAGTCAAACTGGATAAAAAATTACTTTTGATAACTTTAACAAACCTGTGCAGCAACTGTGTGTGAACGTGTTGGAAAAAGCTTTGTAATGCATGCTGTTTTAAATCCTTCATTGGCCAATCCAAAAGCTGCCCTTAGTCCAGCTCCTCCTGCACCAACAACCACAGCATCAAAAGTGTGGTCAATTACAGGATACTGCTTTGAGATCTACAAAATATAAAGATTAAAGTACAATTGCATTAGTAGGAAACTCTTACGGATATCAATTTAAGAAGAAAAGAAATCATGACATTAATTACAGAAAACGCTACGGAAAAAATTGCTGAAAGCATGATGTACAGAATGATAAATCTGTTATTTATTTTTTTTAATTAAAAGAACAGACACAGGATTTCAAAATAACTTCTAATTCTCAAATTAAACAAGATTGTCATATGTTATATAATCACATTTTTACCTTGTCCCCTGATGTTGAAGACTGGTTTGTCCTTTGAAATTTGAAATGAAAATCCCTAGATCCAGAGGCTGTGACTGGTTTAACTACCTTCGTTAGCTGAAATGATGAGAAAATTCGAACGTGAAGAAATCGTAAATTTACGTTTAAAAAAAATACTAATAATAGAAATGATATCTAATGGAAATGAGAATTACAGTAATATTCGACATTTGCATTAAAATCAATAATGCGCCACAATATACTTAAGACAACATAGCTTTTTTTCTGCCCTTCATTTGCGTTTATGAGTTATGCAACTTACATTACCCGTATATTGTCACGTAAGCAAATAGCATTTCAAAAGCAGCAACAGGAACACTTCAAAATTTTAAATATTAGTATGATCAGCAATTTTCAACACTTACAAGGTTCGTTAATGCTGATTTCTGCATAATAGTTCCTGATAACTTTAGAGCCGATGCCATCCTTCTCCCCGGAAATCTTATGTTCTTCTGACCTCCGAGCATGCGCATATATGTTCAATATACCCATTACAAAACATTGTTTTATAACTAATACGCAAAAACATTTCATTGCCAATAAGATTTACTGAACTCTGTCGAATCTAATTTAAATCTGTACAAAGAACCATTAAGTTAAATAGAAAAGGACATTTCTGAATCTAATATCGGTATTGTAGATAGATGAAGAAGGGAGGGGGGGGGGTCTTTAAAAAAAGTCTGGTTCTATCTGTGTGTGTTTAAATCGGGGGAAATGTATAAATTTTAAAAAATATATATATCGCCGATCTTGTCCTTTTTTAACGTAGCCACTAATCCTTATTCCGAACTCTTTTTCAATGAGTGCAGGAGAGATAGAAAGAGAGCCCGGAGACTGAGAAATTTTTTATTATTGGACTTTATTCTGAGCGCATGTTCAGAATATGGCCATGTCATTAATTTGTTTTTTTCACTATACATTTAATTGAAACCCAAGTTGTTTTTTTTTTATTTTGTTTTGTTTTTTTAAACTGTTTAATGTGATGTCAATTGTAGCTCATTCCCCCTTTTTAAAATGCAAAATAATTTAGTTGTTTCAAATTCTTTACCTGAAATGTAAAGCAAAATGTGATACATTGATTATTGAGAACAATGAACAATGATTTATAAACGAAATCATAGAAAGTAGACTATATAATTGTTATCAAAAACATTATATTCACACCTTTCGTTCTAACTAGGCTAATTATCAAATGTATCAAAACGGAAACAAACCGTTAAAATATTTAACCTCGAAATACAAAAAGTTTCTAACAAATTTGTGCTGTATTTCAATTTCGACGTGTGATATCACTTCAGCGCCTAAAAGTGACTGAATTGAAAAGAACAGTGAGTGAACTGGAGAAAAATGTAAAGTTTACTGTAGGTAAGGTTGATGAAAATGAGGTAAACGGCAAGGAAATTAAAGACAAACTCCATGTACAATGCATACAAATCACAGGCACTTGTTTCGTATACGGGGCACCCCCTACTTATTTTTACCACGTGGTAAAAATAAGTAGGGGGTGCCCCGTATACGAAACAAGTGTCTGTGATACAAATCCTTGAAAGATCAACAGCTAATTTAACTGTGAAATAGGAAAATCTGAGTCGTGAATTGAAGGAACCTAACAATCGCCATGTTGAACTACAAGCCTGGAAAATGAGAGACAATCTGATTTTCTATGGAATTGCCGAGTACCTAGTTCCAAGACGAAAATTGTGAAGAGAAAATAAAAGTATTTATACAAAAAACCTATTTCAAAATATAGAATTTCATAGAGTTCAACGCATGGGACGAAAAGTGCCCGAAAAAACAAAACCAATTGTAGCAAAACTCGTACTGTTTAACGAAAAGGAAATGGTACGGAGGGCAGCCTACAACTTTTCAGAAGATGAAAAGAAACAATATAGAATAACTGAACACTTTCCCCGTGAAATCAGTAAAAAGAGGAAAAAAATTTTATCCTCATTATAAATCTGCAAAGCAGCAAGAGAAGAGAGCACAACTCATTTATGATAAACTTTATCAGAGCCCGGTTTCAAAAAGTTCAACTTCTCCAAAAAAATCTGACAAGCAAAAAAAAAAAAAAAGAAGAAGAAGAAAAAAACCCTACTACACTGACCAAAAGTGTGTGGGGGGGGGGGGGGGGCAACTTCTTCTGCAAATTATCTGACAAGAAAAATTATATAAAAAAAAGAAGGTAATTTGCTGTACAGAATTTGCCTGTGCGCGACCTTACAACATCAAAAAGTGGGGTTCGACCATCATCTAAAGGAAAATTGACTACAGCAAAAAATATACTCAGCCAAAAGTCGGGGGGGGGGGGGGGGGCTCTCCCCGCGTTCTACGGGCCTGTTTATATTGAAGAAGAACTTTTCACACTCAATGAAACAGATGAAGAATAACATGGTAACTCAGATCCAGATTTGCCATTTGGACGACGTACGAATTCACAATTATCCGCAGGGGCCCCGGAGTTCACGCCGAGACCCAAGGGCGAAGGCCGGGGAGGATCCAGAAGAAAATCTGGACGTAGTAGGTAGGGAAACCACGGAAGATGTCATGGAAACGCGTCTGAATATCAAAGTGAATCATTAGACCCTGTCTCTCTTAAGAACTCTAACAAACAATCTAAGAAATGTTAACACAAAATCTTTGGATACTGTGCTGAAAATACTTTCTATTAATGTATGCGGTATGAACAGACGCCCCGAGTTTTCAGATTTATTTTCATGTAAAAAGGTATTTGTCATTAATAACCTTTGTAAATTCACCATATAGTTAATAAGAGAGTTACCCCTCTGGGTTTCATGTATTTTGTTTGATATTGTTGCTGTATTTCACACTATATGCGAGAATAAATTGAATTGAATTGAAAAAACAATAATAGCACCATAAAAAAATTATTTTGAAATTATGCGGAGAAACTGAAAACAATTGCATTTTATGATATGATGTTATTTATTCATAAAAATGAGCAACATATGTATAGTGAAAAAAAAAGAAATGATAACTCACTCAATTATGACCACCCCACATATTGGACAATCGTACATGTATATTAAAAAAGTATAATTTTTACATTATGTGGATCTCCAAAAATCTTACAAAAAATTTTGAAAGCTTTTGTACAAATTAGATTTAAAAAATGTTTATACGATTTAAAAAAATGTTTACAAGTACGGTCAAAAAAATCGTTTCCTTAATAAGAACAAATAATTTGTTCACATTGTTACTTGTTGTATTCTTTTCACTGTCTGAAAAGGGGGGGGGGGGGCACAAGCTTTTGTTTCAGTAATAATTTTTTTTAACTCATAGTATAAAAATAACACAAGGTATCCAGCTCCGAATTACATGGAGTTCCCCCTCCCTAGAATCGCACTTGTGTTATTATACCACGGGTTAAAAATTATTACCGAAACAAGTGCCTGTGGGAGAGGGTCCTAGAATATTTAGTCATGTGTTGTTACGGCAAAGATATATACGAGGCATAAGAGTGTCATTTAATCTACCCCTTCTGCAAAAATTATACATGTAGCATGATTACCCCCTTCTTCATACACTCTTTTTACGGCATTTTTTTTTAAAATATAAGACCCCCTCCCAAACATACCCTCAAAGAGTTCAAAAAAGACAATCCTTGATATTATTCTTTAACATTCGAAAATTTCTTGCATTGTCTATATCTATCAGGCCCATAGCACCACATGGACCTTTTATTGGGAGAACAGTTTGTTGTAAATTAAGAATTGAAATGCTAATTCAAAGGCAGATTGCCCCATCAACCTCTCTCAATTTGTTTAAGTAAGGAATCTTACCCGTTATTGGACGATAAAAAATGACGAGAGTGAGATGTCACAGATTCATCAGAAATAAGATACTTCCGATATGTTTACTATATTTTATTATGATTTTACATTGACTTTTTTACTTCAAATATTTTGTTTTTTTAAATAAAAATTTACAACTAAAGTATAACTATATATATCATATCACTATGGAACTGCTCTCTGGTTCGGAATGGCACTTTCTGGTTTGTGATGGCTCTTTGGCTTAGAATGGGGACACTTTCGTCCAGGATTATTTGTGTCTCTGGATGCACTGATCTTAGATTACAATTTGATAGACTTGAGGTTTGCATCTCATCGGTAAAGTTCACTAAAATTTGGATATATAACTAGACAATAAACCAATTCCAAATATCCTACAAGGAAGATAGATTGTTCAAGTATTGAAGTACTATCTATAATTGTACATTGTAATTTCAATACAGTGTCTCGTTTCTAGTTTCTGAGATAAAGAATAATCTGCTCAATGCATTCTTTGGCAGATAATAAAGAGCTAGTTACTAGTAATTTCTCTCTTCGTTTACTTCAGAAAAAGAAATCCATAAATAAATATTTGTCTGTAAAAGTACGTAATTTTGAGTGTTTAGGATAGGGCGAATCCACGATTTACATGTTATTTAAATGAAATAAAATGAGGTTTCAGTGTTTATTATTTTTAAAAGTAGTCCTCTCCGATTTTAATGCACATCTGTCATTGTTCTGCCCATGCGCGAATCACGTGATTCAGGCGGTCACGTGACATGCTTCGTAGAGGTCTGTTTAGAGAAGCTGAGATTTTTTTCCAAGTCTTATATTTCTTAGCATGCAAGTAATTTTTTATAACAAGAACAGACCATCAGTCAGAAATGGCCAAATCTCGGCAATATGATGGGTGGATAAGGATATCCCTTCCCAGAATTAGCATGGTGGCCATCACAACCCGAGTCCTCTGTCTCGGGAGCGTCGTTTATCCAATGTGGAAAAAGTATGGGCGCCTTCTTTTTTTTCATATCTCATATGTTTAAAGTCTAAAGTAAACGATATTTTAGGGATTTAATAATACTATCGCTCAGATATTCAACTATTTTTCTTACTGTAACTTGGCGATCTTTCAAAACAAATTGCTCAACTAGGGATACATCTTTTTACCGGCTTGCTTTCGCTGGGCAAAAGAACAAACATCATTTTTAACCATCTCCCTGCCTTTACTAAAACATTCAATCCAATTAATGATTGAACTTCTGGTAAGTCTTTTGTCTTCATAAACCATGTACAAATTGTCATATTCTACTGCAAAGGAATTTTCGAGATATACGTTAAACGTTGCTTGAGTACGACTGAGTCAACCCTTTTCTGTCACAAGTGACCTACATACTGACGTCATTTTCACACTATGACGTCACAAACACGGAGCAAAACATTATTAACATCTGCTATTTATAGAACATGTGTATGACTATATATATGTATGCCAAATTTCATTCTGATCTGAATTATGGTTTTGTAAATATAGAGATAGATCGCGAACTTTTTGATCACCCCTCGTATATATAAATTATTTTTATTTTACTTATAAAATATATTTCTTTTAGAAATGATTTTATACGAGTGAGCAGGGGGTTCATGAACCTTAATATAAGTATATGAGTCTATTAGCATTAATTTTATCCAGACTTTTTGAAGGGGTGCTGCCTCCCCCCCCCC